CCGAAAGACAGTCGCCAGTTATTCAACTTATTTCCGTTCTTCTCTGAATGTTTTAGGCTAATCAAATAGATCCACATAAGCGAAATTCAAATTGCACGGGGAATCAGGCGAGACAGGTGATGACGGTTGTCCAGGGGTCACCAAAGTTTATCAGTATGAACAGGCAATACTTGTGACAACAGTTACGTAACAGCAAAGTGCTGAAAAGAGAGGAGAAAGTTACAAAGGGCTATAATGGTTCATTGATGCACATAGAAGGAGGAATGGTGCATCTAAATAAAATAAATCTTGAATCAGTTGAGTTCGGGAAAACAAGCTTTTGATAACGGGGAATTTGTATGTGTGTTTAGTGTATTGCGCACATCTTTGACAAGCACTTCCGTAAAACAAAACGCATACATGACAACCGTCTCAGGGATCAGATTTAATTTGGATAAAGTTGTTTACCGATAATATTGAGACTTTCATAGTTCGATGCGGGAAAAAGTTCAATTGTTTCCTTCTCATTGTTTCTGAGTAAGCGTTCAAGATAAATCACAGGGTATTAGCGATCGCATGATAGTCCTGTGCGCTCTGGTTGGCTAGGGTTTGTGGGAATTCTTTAATCAAAGTTAATACATGAGATTGTGTGTTGTTGAAATAATCCCACAGAGCACATCTCAAACAAAACAAGAGTGACGAACAATCTCGTTTTCAGAGATTCGCATTCATGCCAATACATCTCAATATATATCACTACTTGGGCATAAAATTGTCATGGGAAAATAAAATAAAAACAGATTGCTAGAAACGATTTCATCGTGAGACCGGAAATCGGGTTTACCACGATCACTTGTTTGTTTGTCCACTCGTCGTCGATCATCGAGATTACTCATGATGCGATGTGTATGGGGTCGGTGGGTGGGCCAGGGAAGTTTTAGCGCTTGCACAAATTGTTTTTGGGCACACACAGGGGAGTTGTGCAGACGAATACCCAACATCCGATAGCGAACCTGCCTCGATAATCGCCCACGAACTTTATACACGGGTCGGAAAGCCTCGCACATGTTCACGGTGTGATTTGTTTCAGCTAGGTATGAAACCATTGCACTGGTGAGTGACTTAATCGTTCCGGTGTTCAGCCATACGGGGTGGTGTTCACGAATCCGTTCGGAAAATCGCCTGACCGTGCGGCCTATGTACGTTTTTCCACAGGAACAAGTAAATGAGACCGCAAAGTCTGGAACTTTATCCTTCAGTCGCAGACACAATTGGCTTGGACGTGAACAACCCACGAAGCGTAGATGCATAGAAAGTCTTATCGATTGCGTCAAATATTCTTCTTTGTATGATCTCAAGTCAAGTCAATTAAAGCTTCCTGCACCCGATAGGATGAGTTTTCAGCATTTTCGACATGTTACAGTTGGAAAAAACGTTAAGTATCAGAAAAAGAAGAAATATAAATTTACTAAATGACAAACAGACCGGTTTACGTAAAATCCTAATGTGAGAGATGATTGTTCAAGTCAGCAAAAATATTTGCTCGGTTGATCAAAATGCGAGCAAAATAAGGGATCATGCTGTTTTT